TTGCTAATATAATTTTTGAACAGTTTATATTGCACAAACTGATGCATTCTGACTGTGAATATTTTGAAATAAATACTTGGTTCATAAAAAGCTTCTTTTGTTTCTCTTAAAGGGATAGTTCACCCAAAAATGAAAATTAAGGAATCATTTCCTCACCCTTGTGTTGTTCTAATGCTGCATATCCTTACTTCTTTTTCGGACCGTACAAGAGATTTTTATATATATATATATATATATATATTCAGCCCACTTGTCCATATAATGTCAGTATAATGTGAGAAAGAAGTGAAAGTATCCCAGAATAGTCTCATGTGACGCTGTATGCTCCAAGTGTTCGAGGGAATAAAAACAAATATCCTGACTTGACCAGTGGTCTCTGTGCACGACTGCACATTCATGAGACTCTATTCAAGATTAATAAAAACACAACATGAAATACAATCTATGTGTTTTTTTCTCTGAGGTAAATATATCTGTTGTCCAACAACAAGTTATCTCATTCATCTGCCATTCTGATCTTCATGACAGATTTTAATTAATAATCAAATTAATAATCGCATTTTTATTACTCTTGATTTTTCACAGCTTGTGTGCTTTTCTTTGGTGAGTCGGAGTGAACTGCTGGGTTTCATAACACACCGTCATGCACACGCGGTCAAATCAGGATACTTGTGAAATATTATGTTAAATTTCAGTTTGTTTCTCACCAAACCCTATAGAGAATCATACGTTTTTTGTAGTCAGTTAATATCATGGATAACTGAAATAAATAGTTCAATAGTTTGCTGACCACCAGAAGACATTGAAATAGCCCATGCCATAAGATAAAAATCAGATCTGTTTTTTTTACAGATGTGTTTGCTCTGGTGGACTGTGATAGAAGAGAACACTTTGTGTAATATTTTTATATCTGTGTGTTTTCAAATCATCTGTTCGTGTGAGTGTGAGTGATAGTGTTTGAGCAGCTGCAGCATCAGTTCATCACTGTGACTCTGACTGACGGAGGTTTTTGTATCACTCTTTATCACTGTGTGAATGCATGATCACCCGCACAACCACCATCAGAATCTGTTCTGCAGTGAAAACTCTGACAGTAATAATGTCCAGCATCTTCAGTCTGGACTCCACTGATGGTCAGAGTGAAATCACTGTTAGATCCACTGCCACTGAATCTAGATGCAGTTCCTGACTCAAGCTTTTTTACATAACGAATCAGGAGTTTAGGAGCTTCTCCAGGTTTCTGTAAGAACCAGAATAAACCTTCATCCCCATCACTCCATCTGTACACATCTGTGCTGGTTTTACAGCTGATCTTCACTGTTTGTTCTGGTTGAGCTGCTGTCGTTGAGGGACTCTGAGTGACGCTGATCTGTCCTCTACTCTCTGAAACACACAACAAGAAGAACATCAACTCAAAACTTGGACAATATACTTGAAGAAATGAATTGATATCAAACTTGTGCTGCACAAACCTTGAGCAAACGCTGTGAGAGTCCAGATGAAGATGATGATGAAGGTCATGTTGATGAAGATTGTTGTGTGTGTCAGTGATGAAGTGTTAAACTCACAGCACTATAAACACTCTCAGAGCACTGAAGCATCTGATCAATATGCAAACACACTCCACATCATTTACCAGAAGACAGCAGATGCATAATTTTGCCATCTTTGCTAAAAATTCATATTTACCATTTACCAAATCTCTATTTATCTCTATTTCGTCTGAAACACTCATGATTTATGTCATGTTACTTTGGGATAATTAAACAAAGTTTAATTATCATTTTCATTCAGACTTTAATGCTCAGAGCATTTAATACCTGTGTTCATCTATTTCACTGTATAACAGGTCAAAGGTCATCTGATAGGGAATAAGCATCTAAAGCTTGCTAAAGTGTCATTATTAAATTATTAAAGTAGAGTTACTTTAAATCACATGTGTTTTGAAAATGTGATGAATGCATTTTGGAAATGATTATGAAAAACAGAAAAACATCCTTCATGCAACGTTTTGTTTTTTAAATGAAATTTGATGTTGTTTTAGAAGAAACCATGAGTGCTGTTGAGTCTCATATCAGTGTGTGTGAGTGTCGTGGAGTTTGTGTTCATCTGAGTGTGACGGAGGTTTTTGTACGA